AAAAGAGATATTCTATGCCTACATAAAAGCCGTAACTGCAAGTAACAGATAGCATCACATTCCAGCTCACCTATGTGTGAACATATACATAGGGAAGAGCATTAGTGGTACGCGGTTCAAGACGAGCTTCCTACGAACTCCCTCTAGCTAACTAACAATATTTAGCTAAGTGTCTCCCGAGTCAAATAATCTGATGAGTGTAGATGACAAGGACCCAGTTTCAACCATCTTCAGACACATACTAGAAACCAGTCAAAGAGATGAAGTTTAAAGAGCCTTAAATGTTAGGTGGATTAGGGACACCGGCAGCCAACTATACCCTAACAATAATGAAAATGCAGGGTAATCATGAGTCTCCGGAATTTGTGACCAAATTGCAAATAATCGATTGAACTGGATCAGCACTCAGGATTAGACAGCATGAAACTGGTTACTGCCCCATCAATGCATCCCTCAATACACCAGTGGCTCTAAGAAACCACTCTAGTAACGACACAAATGCCCATTTAGGTTTCTTTATTTAAGTTCGAAAGGCATATTTTTATAAAATAAAGAAGTCTAATTGGTTATTTCGGTTACGATAATGACTTTTTAGAGTCACTGAAAAAGGTCTTCTCAGCAGTGTTTAAATTTATGGAAGCAATATTTATCCGTAAATCGAAAATAATTCAAAGTATGCAGTGTCAGTTAGTAGGTACTTTAAACCTACATCAGTAGTAATGTCTCAATTTTTGTACTTATAGCGGTTTGGTCCGGATTTTTTAAAATTTGATTTGCCCGTGTTATCCTGCAAACTCCTGCATTTCTGACCGACTTAACTGACCTTTATCAAATTTTCATATCAAAAGTCTAGCAAATTGTTGTGTACCTGAAACGTATACCCATATCTACTCATCACACGGTTTAAGTTTATGAAGGTGACTAGTTGCTTCAAAAGTATGAGGTTGAACAAGTTGAAAATTAAGCATAACTGAAAGGAAAAGCTCTACGTTGTATTTTAAGCCTAGTCAATGACAAATATTAAAGACATTGTTCAGTTTCACTTTTGATAATTAGAACTTGTTGTTTAAGCTTGATAATAGAGTAGAAACTACTAGTAAAAAAGAGATTTGTAACAAAATTTGTAAGTTTTGAATTGAAACAATGTCTCGTTCAATTTTTCAATTCCAAGTTGAAATCTTAGTTCCTCTTAACTGATTGCAACAGCTGCATAAAACCTAGTGTTTAATATTTTATGTATCCTTCAAAGGAAACTATCTACAAGGTACACATAAAGAATCATGAACTTAACCACCTCCCTGAATCTGACTGATTATCATATTATTATGGAAAGAAAGGAACCAAGTTCTTCACGCATGGAACAATCATGAACAAGTATCAGCAAACAGTTAACCTCTCTCGTATTTTAGAAAAGTCCGTTTTAACTGGCTTACACACCAGTTCATTGGTGAAAAATATTTATTCTCCTATAGTTCTCCTTAAACGAATGTACAGAACGTCCTTTGCATAACAAGGGCCAAACAGTCGTTAACTGGACTGAATTAATTGGTCCCTGATAGTATAGAGGCTCCTGAGCAGATATCTCCACATTACCTGTGTTTCAATTTCATATTCATGATGGATAGTAGCTAGAAATGGTATCAAGAACGCGCATTCCACCCTATTTGGGACTCGCCAGCTGGATATACCTGCCTCTCGGTAAGTGATGCTGTTCCCAATAAAACTCAAACCTAGGACCGGTCACTTCAAATACCAGGGGGTTATGCACTAGAAATCGCTACTGTGACTCGGTAACCTAGTCGATAACGCTCTGGCGTTTAAAGCGATGGGTCATGGGTTCGAGCCTTAATAGGAACAACATCACCCACCGACAGGCAGGTATATCCAGCTGGCGAGTCCCAAGTCCTGGATTCCACTTCTAGCCACTACCTAGCACTTATATAAAAGGCTAAACAGTTTAAATTATTTGACTAGTAGTGGGACGATAATCAACGCTAATAACAACTGATAAATACTATAAAATGGTTCTTTCTAGCATTCAACAGCTCAATGCATAACAGTGGACGTTGAAAACCTGCTTCCAGTAAAATTACTGGAGTCTAAAATAATTACATGTTAGTCTGTCTGTTTGATATTTCACACAATGAAACAGTATTACTTACTAGAAACCTTTCCGAATAGAAGTTACTGCTCGTGTTCATATCAAAAGTAACTCCACATCATTATAATGTGGGTTTCATAAATCTGTTGGTCCTCTTTCACTAGTCGTATAGACAGTAGACTTTTCCAAATATCTGGAATAAGTGTTAAGTCCATTTACGTGGATTCGTTCGATGTTGATTCAACAAACAAAGCTTCATTTATCAGCTAGACCCCATTTAAGATAGTTCCAACGTCTGTAACTCTCTACTATCCTTTTTTCTGCTGTATGTGGTTGTATGAATTGCAACGCCTGAGCTCTCCTTTACATTTATTATCTTACTGGGATTTATCTTTCTAGGTTTGGTCAACTTTTGTGCTGTTACTAGAATTAACTCTATTTGACTATTCTGACCTACGTACTTGACCTCACAATCATTGCATCGAATCTGATGAGCTAAACTATTTTGTCTACTGGGTTCCTTTAGACTAAAACATCTGTTTCCTAGACAGTTTGTAGGTTTAACTACTATCTTAATCCCAGCTCTGTTAGGAATCTTGTGTAATCTTTGTGAGGTACCTTATCTACATGGTAGCATCACGGAGGTTTTGAATTCTCATTTCTTAATAATGTCATTATTAGTATGTATATTATTATGAATTAATATTGCTCTAGAGGAAGTTAGGAATGAGCCCAGCTCCGACCAAGAACTCACACTGAGAATAAGGATACCAAATGAAGAAATTATGTATGAATTACAATTTTGCCTGACTTCTACAGTCTTCAAGTTATAAGATAAAATATATAAAAAGTCGAAGGAATCGCTACAGGATCACGAATATCTTCATTACTGGCAAATTTGTTTATGAACAGTTTGGAATAAACAACCATTAGGTTTTTCACCTCTGCTCCTAAAATGGGATGAGGACAAGCAGACAGCACAATTACGACGTTAAAGACAGAAGATACTGATAAATTTTTGACGCACTTAACTCCACTTTTATGTGCAATTCAAATTACTTACGAATTAGAGAGTGGTGAAAGAGAATTAACTATGCTGGATTACAGAATAAAATAAAGACTAGATAGTTACTTAAATAGTAGTGTCTTAAACAAATAACGTATTCGAATCGATACTTAGACTTCAGGTCGTTTCGTTCTATTTCACTAAAAATAGGTTTTATGTATTTTTAAATAATAGAGTGGAATGTATGAGCCGTAAAGTAGAAAATTTCCGACGGGAAAAAAGGCAGAAAAGAAAAATTAGTGCTCAATAATTATCTTCCTAAGGTGATCCAGTAAGGCTTAGGAAATTCTAAAAAAAAGATTAGTAAAGTAGACAGATAATGTGCATACTAATAATGACAATATTAAGAAATGAGAATTCAAAACCTCCGTGATGCTACCATGTAAATAAGGTACCTCACAAAGATTACACAAGATTCTTAACAGAGCTGGGATTAAGATAGTAGTTAAACCTACAAACTGTCTAGGAAACAGATGTTTTAGTCTAAAGGAACCCAGTAGACAAAATAGTTTAGCTCATCAGATTCGATGCAATGATTGTGAGGTCAAGTACGTAGGTCAGAATAGTCAAATAGAGTTAATTCTAGTAACAGCACAAAAGTTGACCAAATCTTGAATGGTTGTTTGTAATGGTTTCTTAACTGACTGTAACTATGCCATCAAATATGGAACTTATCAACTTCGCATAGTCGGTGAAGCACAGACTACTTCTGAGTGATATCAGCCTGTAAGGGAAAAATGAAGCAACCTGTTAACTTTTCTAGTTGGTATTTTGTTGTCTTGATGAAATGTGACGTGATTTACGCAAATAGTCAGGTGACAAAATTCAGTCCTAAGATTACAGATCTACCATCTGTTTGATCTAGCTTCTGCTTTCTGCAGTTGAGGACGGGAGAATATATGCCCAAATGGCTTCAAAAACGTTGAAGTGTGAAACTTTGATCAATGCGGGTGGAAGACAGCCCTCTTCATATATGTCTAAACATGCAACAGAAACTGTTCACAGAGTTAACTTTCAAACAGCTTTGAAAGTTATGCGTACAAACTGTCAGGGATGCATACCAAGATTTCCGGGAGCGATAGACATACGCAAACTGAAAGCACCTTTAAGTGCACGAAAACTATTTTTTTTACTACTAAACTTTGTTTTCTTACAAAGACTACGATCAGCTATATCACTCCTCCTTTTAATTCTCATCTTTCTCAGTTTTAATCCTTCATTATTTTGATTGTTCTGTTTATCGTCATATTCTTCCACCCCATACAAAGTGACCTGACAAGTAAGTGATCAGATTGTATGAGATCTATTGCGCAGATACATCGGACTGTTCAGATAGACTTTATCTTCTAGGCACACTATCCAAATTTATAAAAAGGAGTAGTTATTTCAAATAAAGTAACGTGTTATTATTTTCTACTACAGTGACCAGGCTTGCATTAAAGTTTGAAATAAGATACACATATGACAATCTATGAAAAAATGAATCGTATATCTTATATTTCATTAAGACCATCCACTAAAATAACAGTGATTTTGAAGGCCATGCTTGCAATTGCTAATATAACCAGTTCGATTTCTTTATTTTATTAAAAAAACTCCATCTTAATCAAAATAGCTAGACGTGACTAGCCGTCTTAGCAGTTGCTATGGTAGCCTTCTGAAGTCGCTCTTAATGACTGAATTCCTTTTTTAAGCTTCAACAACTATTTATCATCATAAAGATAACTAGATTTATCAGTCATTAACTTCTGTCTCACGAACAAATATCGCTTATTTAAATCTCGTCACTACGATTATTCAATCGAATGGTATTCTATTAGTTGACCGGAAACGTCACATATTGAACCTTCTTGTTCTGTCAGTTGGCTTAGTTTTACACTGGGTATTTGATCGACAGACTTTAGCCAAAACTGGAGACTTCAGAATCAGAGTTAAAATTCGGCAATCAATTTTACTAAAGTAGAAGAACCTTATGAGGTAATTTTCTTTAACCTAAAGCAAATTCGGCTAATCCGGAAACTACTCTTATCAGGGATTTTTTCAGGAAACATTTGTGTCCTAACAACTAATAGTCGATAAGTGTTGAGAGTTACTACCAAATGACAAAGCACAAACAGTAGTACTTCAAAACACACAACAATGTGCCTGGTTTCAAAATGACTACCATGCACAAATAATTATTAGGAAGAAAAAGATGGAGATAATGTGATAACTCGTACATACTAGGATTTTCATGATCCTAACTTACCCTAGCAGCCATTGATGTTTGTGGTTTCTCCACTAAGTCCCACACATGCTTTTGTAATGTAGCCCATTTTCCTGTGCCAAACTGTTCTTCTTGAGCTTGTGACATGCTTATCTCTCTCGTTTTCTTCAACTCTTCTTCAACTTGTTCTTTTTTCTGATAATATTTATAGAAGCAGCAAGTTTCTAATTGATATTCATTGACGCCCCAGTAGAATAAATCATTTTTAAAGGCTAGTACACAGATATCTTCTAAAAAGTGCAAATGTCCTGTACGATAGACACTAAGTATTGAACCGAAGGAACGTGCATAACGATCAAAGTATAGTTCATTTTTCTCGACTGAATAATCATCGAACAGCTGGATGAGTTCGTCAGGGCTGTTGGATAAACTCAATCGACCAAGACGAGATAGCGGTAGACGTCTCAGTGTCTTCCACATGACTTCATGTCGTTCACCTCCTACATTCAACATAACACGACTGTTGTGTTTACGAGCTCTAAGAAATGCTGGGATATTTACAGTGGTTTTCAATAAGTCTGTTACCGAATCATGACTGTGCAGTGAAACGTGGTCGATACTACTGAGATTATTATTTGATGTCAGGTGACTATCCTGTGCGTGTACCGGTGAATGAAAATTTCGACCAAGAAATCTGCACAAAGTTTTACAGAATGCTTTTGAGTTCAAGGAACGTGAATGTGCTATACCACGACGTGTTTTTCTCAGACTGACGTCATCATTCTTTGGCATGTTGATGCTACTGTCTGGTATTCGACCATCATTTGTAGTACCAATGTTGCTTAGAACAATGTTACTGACGTCGGAGTTGGAGAAAGTGGCATTTATAGTCCTCACAGATGTCGGATTAGCTGTAATATTATATAAAGTGTTTTCCATTGATCACATCTTCCAGATTAGAAACTATCAGCATTTCGAGGGCAGCTAATAACTCTTTTCCTATCAATTTATACATTTATTCCTGATGTCGTGGTTACATCTTTCGTTGATCATACAACTTCATTCTTCAATTCAATGTGTTTTAATAACTTCAGCTGCACGATACAACTTTTCGTCCGTTTAAATATTCGTCTATGAATCTATTTTCAGTCTCTAGTGCAACTATTCGACATTGTAAATGGGTAATTATTCATTGTTTTATTATTAAAAACAGAAACATTTCCGTTAATGCAAATATTCCAAGGGATATCTAAAGTTTATATACACGTGCGAAAACCAGGCACAAAACTTCCATATAGGCATATATTGATAAATATTCAAAAGAATTTTACATTTACATACATGATACCTTTTTGTGTGTATTTGTGTAATAATACCAACTAACAATACACTAGTGGACGGATAAAATCCCACTGCCTAAGTTCTCTGTTCAGTCCCCTACCAAACGACCTTGTCCACCAATTTAAAATATGTCTACATCAAGAAGCAAGAACCAATAGAATACGTCTGACTAATTAATCCTAACAAAATAACCAGTAGGAAGATTAGTTCAAGTGGCAATTCGACGAACACGTGACGCATAGTAACTTGTAATCTATCTCAGTGTCCCCCTATTTACATAGTGAAGTAGTGAAATAAGTCATAAGTGGAATAAATCTGATTTTTCACATCAATAGAACGAACATAAATGCATAGCTTCATTTACTATGTTTACTAGACCACAAGGAGAATCACAACAGCTCTTGACGTTTCCATTATGAATCGACAGTAATTGGTGGAACATCTAACCTAGGGAAGCAGTTTGTCTGATTGATGAACATTTCAGTAGGACGCTTAATTAATGTATTACTGGGTCGAAACGAAAGTCAAGGAAGA